CCATGCCTTGAAATCCGTACGCGCTCAAAAGCGGAATGTGCGGGGTAACGGTAGTGGTTGCATATGCTCTTGGATCGATGACGTCGGCGGAAGTCTTCCACTGTTTACACACACGCATTTTTGGTACCTCGCACCCGACTCATAAGCAACCGCAATGGACCCGTGACATATGATTCGTTTGCAACCAGTCCGTGGCTGCCAAACTGTTCAGGTGGTCGTCCTAGAACCACGAACACTGCGTAAAACCTGGAAGTTGCTCGTTGCACCGACTCCGACTCGATCGCACTCGAATGAAATGGGCTGAGAAACACATCTCAGTCCGTCTGGGTGTGTTGCGCCCGTTGCCCTACGTCCCTACACCATTCCTCTTGCTCGATGTTCATCAAGCATTTTTCGCTCCGCCATCTATCCTAGTATCAATCCAACCTCGTTATCCAGCTATCGGCGACGTCCTGTTACCTACTGGTCAACAGGATCCTTTGCTTCTGCCGTCACATCTCGCTTTCCCGTCTCCAGACAACACTCCACCATGGCGAAGCGCATCCTCCTGCTGTGCTTTATCCACGGTTTCAAGGTCGGTCCATACCCCCCACGACAGCAGCCACAGTTTTTCTGACCTTTCCTACGACAGGGTGACGATGACACCTTCCGCAACTTCCCAAAGCACCTCAAAGATACCGTCACAAGCAACCTTCTCGACCACCATGTGGCGTCCGTCGTCTATCCAAAGTACGAGACCAAGGGAGAGCTGGCCCAAACCACCGAAGCTTTTCTAGAATGGTACGCGAATAAGAAACCACAAAGACGGCGCTGCGTTGACAACAACTGACGGTCAATAGGCTCAAGGAGCGGGTGATGGAACTTCGAAAGGAACACCTACAAGCACCATGGCCTCCCACCGACCGGAATGTCGGCGTGATCCTCGTCGCTCATTCAATGGGGTAAGTCCATAACCTATCTCCCTGTTTGTTCCAGAGTCCTTCACTAACTCCACACAGCGGCTTTGTAGCAAGTGACACCCTCTTCCGTATCCTAGACGAACGCCGCCGCAACGCCGAATCCGAGAACCCTACCGGTCCCATCTTCCCTATGATCCAAGGCATCCTCGCCTTCGACACTCCCTACAATGGTCTCGCTCGCTCCATGTTTGTCTACGGCGCCTTCTCCAACTACCAAAAGGTCTCGAATGTCTTCAACGTCATGACAGCCCTCTCTGCCGCCGCCCCAGCTACACTTGCCAGTCTTGCCTCGAAACGCACAGCTATGGCCGCTACCAAGGCCGTTTCCCGCAGCATATCGGTCCCCCGGCGATCCCACCCCGCGCTCAAGGCATGGCAGCTGATTGCCGTCCGTACTGGCACGGTGGGTGTCATTGCCGCGGGTGGTGTGGCGGCCTTCATGCACAGGAAAGAGATCCTCGAGGGCATGCGCACAGTCAAGAACCTGAAGAAGGAGGACGTGATCCAGGGATATCAGCAAAGCGTCGATGCGCTCGGTCAGGGGCTGGCATACATCAACCGCGGCAACGTCGGACAGTCCTTCGCATGGCTGTCTGATCACTTTACCTTTGTCGGCGCTCTACTGAAGCAAAACGAGCTGAACCGACGACTGGAAAGATTAGCCGCTGTGCAGGGAGTTGGCATCAAGGACATATATGCGTCACTCGGAGAGAACGGGTACTGGAGTGGCGGTTACTTCGTGCCCGAGAGGACGTTCTGTGCCATACCCAGTGAGGGACAGCCGTGCAACGGGCTCTTCAACAGGCATGTCGTTGCCGAGGCCAAGGACGAGATCGAAGCACATGTCAACCTTTTCAAGCCGGAGAAGAACAAGGGCTACGAAAGAATGACCAACGAAGCTGCCCAACTGGTTATCACCTGGTTCAAGGACGAGACTGACATCTGGGATGATCCCAAGTTCGCCGAGCCGGCCGAGCCAGAGACTGCCGAGACGGAGGAGATTGCCAAAGCGATCGATGAAGCAGACCAAGAGGCGAAGACTGCGGAGGAGAAGGCCAAAGAGGCCGAGAAGAAAGTGGGCAAAGAGGTCGAGGAAGACGACTCAGACAGCGATGGCATCCCGGACGAGTCACCCATCGACATTGCCGCTGCTGCTTCGCTTGTGCCCCTCCCTGACGACCCTGAACACGGCAACGATGACGACGATACTGCAGACCCCGATAAGAAGAAGGCCATCAACGAACAGAAGCGGGCCTACATGCGACACTTGTTTGGCGTCGCTCAACAGACAGGTACCAATATCCGGTCATATCTACCAGCGAAGCTGCCTGAGATGCCAGAGTGGGAGATACCCAAGGTTTCCATGCCCAGCGTTAGTATGCCGAGCATGCCTGGCATACCAAACATACCGAGCATTGGCAAGTACAGTCTCTGGGGTTCCAAGATGTCAGAGACGTCCCAGTCGTCGGAGACAAAGGCCAAGCCGGACACTAGCACCGACAAGACTGAGACCGCGGATGCGAAGTCGGAGAAAGAGAAACCAGATGCCGATACTGCGAATGATAAGATCTCTGGGGGAGATAAGATCTCTATACCCAAGGCGGAGACGGCCGATGCTTCTGGGAACGCTTGATGTGAGACATTAAAGGAACGTGTTGGTGATGATAGGAAATGACCGTTGATGGTAAGTTTGTACGGTATGCAAATGTTGTTGCCCTGGTTTGGGATCTCGCATCGTCGTTTTGAAGCCACAATCGATAGTTTATGCTTGCCTGTTGCGACTTCACCTGCTGTGTGCTGGCGCGTGCGATGCCGATGCGGTTGTCCTTTTCCTGGGGAGACTCTTTCTGCTGTTGCCATCCGCTTTTTCGAATCGCTCTGGGTTTGCCCTTCTGTTATCTGTTTTCATGAACACCAATCGCCTGCCACCCACTTGGTTTTCTTCTTGGCGTCTTCATGTTTTCTGAGTAGCAAAGTCCATCTCACCTCAGCATCTTCGACCTAAGCCGGTGTTCCGGGTTTCACTTGCGGTATTTTTTTGTCACACAGACACGCTTCATTGGTGTTGCGGTGATTGGTGTTGATCTGCTCACCTTCGCGCTCGGCGTCTTATTCCGAAATAGGAAGTTGGCGATGGTTTTATGGCGGGGAAGACCCCCAACGTGGGAGCTGGTTGCGGGGTGATGGCTGGTTGCCGACGATCCTACCAGGGACCGCGCATGCCACGATGATACTGGATACTGTACCGATAAAGTGATGTAGATCACTAGGAAATAAAAACGGGAAGTTGGCTTTTTTTCTCCACGGCCTTTTCGTCCCACGAGATCCCACGAGATCCCACGAGATTGCCGCGTGCATGTGTGATGGAATAGATGGAGAGATGCGTGGCCTTATCGTGGTTATCTATTGGCTGAGGTAGGGTGGTCAAGGGTAGCCAATCCCAATCGGGCACTTATACATGACCGCCCACTGCGACGGATGACGAGTCAGGGCAAGATTGGCAAGGGGTTGAGGCTGGGGCTGTGGATGTCTTGGGGTTGTATTGCATCGGCAATGGCTGAATTGTTATAGGGAGTCAAGTGATGTTCAATGGCTATCCGGCTGGGCATTGGACGCGCGGAACGGGTTCACATATCGAGAGTTTATTTGAAGAGCGAATCAGGGGTCTTGATCCCTCCCGTGTTCTCGTGGTTTGCGTTTCGCGCTAGATACCGAAAGTGAAGGTCGATACTTTCCTAATGGTTGGCGGTTCGTCCCAGATTTGGTGTTACTATGAACGTGCAGATGAATGGAGTGCAACGTATTCGGGAGCGGTCCAACCGTTGCAGGACGTCGGATGTTGACTTTGATCAGCAGGGGAATCATCCCTCCAAGTTATAAGGACTCAGTGATCTGTCGTCGATTCTTCATGATCATCAGTTTTCACTCACACCTTTCCATCACCGACACCGAGGATTACCCAGGAGATCTTTGACAATATGAAGTCCTTTTTCGTTGCTTCCCTGTTGGCGGCCGCCTCATCGGTCCTTGCGGCCCCGGCTCCTATTCCGGCTCCCACTCCTGTACGTTCATCCTCAACACCTATCCTCTCAGCGAATCTCATGACTGACCATTAATCACAGCCTGGTATCCCCACCGCCGCCAACGCCAAGACGCAGCTCGCCAGCTTGACCGTCAAGGCCTACGTTGACGACGGCGGGTACAGCCGTGATCTCTTCCCCCACTGGATCACCATCTCCGGCACTTGCAACACCCGGTATGTGTTTCCGTCCATAGCAGGTGGTCTGTCTGCGTAACATCCTCTAACACCTTTTTAGCGAAACCGTCCTCAAGCGTGACGGCAGCAACGTCGTCACCAGCTCGGCCTGCGCCGCCACCAGCGGCACCTGGGTGTCTCCCTACGACGGCGGCGTCTGGACCGCCGCTTCCGACGTCGACATCGACCACATGGTTCCTCTCAAGAACGCCTGGGTGTCCGGTGCCAACGCCTGGACCACCAGCAAGCGCCAGCAGTTCGCCAACGATCTCAACTCGCCCCAGCTGTGGGCCGTCACCGACAACGTTAATCAATCCAAGTCGGACAAGAGCCCCGATGCCTGGAAGCCCCCTCTTGCCAGCTTCTACTGCACTTATGCCAAGGCGTGGGTTCAGGTCAAGTATACCTGGGCCTTGACCATCACCAGCGCCGAGAAGACTGCTTTGACTAGCATGTTGAACACTTGCTAGGATAAGGGGCACCAGGGGGGAGAAACTGGGGAGGACGGTGGGAAGAGTGGTTCTGGGACGATGCAGGTTCCGTGGTGGATGGGAGCTTGGGTTGTGCTGGCCTGGTTGTGGTCTGCCCTGTGATATCTCACGAAATAAAAGGGCAATGAAGCTTGTGGTAAAAATAAACTACGATGATACATATCCCACGAACCGTGATGCGGACTTGACACAATACATTGGAGGGGTGTAGAGTCTGATCCTGGTTCCTTTCCACTTACTAGCTTGAGACCTATGCTCAATCTCCCTTGGCGTTTTGGTGTTTAGTTGATTCGTTTTATTCTTCACCTAAGGCTTAATGTCACCTTGCATATGCTGTTTTGGAAGCCCAATCATCTGCATTGAACCTTTGTTACTGCCCTTGCGGTCCATACCTAGCCATTACGTCGGTCCGCTAAAAGGTCTGGGATAGGCCTCGTCCAGTATGCTAGGAGTAACAGGCAGATTGTAGGTATCTAGCACAATGCTTGTCGGCGATGCTTTCCACGTTAATCTCAGTGGGTTGGCCGTACTTGGACATTCATCTAGAGGACATTCGAGTCTCGACAGGTATGTGATGGTGATATATGCATGTTCAACTCAAGTATGTACATCGAAAGCTAACTCGAAGCATCCGTCCATGCGTATGGGCCTGTCACACAACCGTGAGGCCTATCATCAACAACCTTCCGTCGTCTTCCCACCCAATTTAGACTACTGGCGTCCAATATTGACCTTCAAAGGTCAGCAGTCGAGCCACCGTACGAGTGGATCTAATCACGGGTTAGCAGCTGTCTCATCCGCAGTCCTCGTTCATGCTCATCAGAGATACTCACAGTCTGATCCGCACATCCAGCGGGAGTCTGATACAGGTACGCGCCCGTGTTGATGAACACCTCCTGTCCCGTGCACACCAACCAAGCAGCCTCATTCGGCCTCTTAATATCCGCCACGGACCAGGTCAGGGTATCACCCTGGAACTTGAACGTGCCATATGCATTCTTGGTCGTGCTGAACCAAGTCTTGAGCTTCCTCTGGGTCTTATCGGCAGGGTTCTCAACGTTGAGGTAAAGTTGAGAAGGCTTGGTGTTGAATACGAGCTGGCCGTCGATGATGTTGAACTGTCCCGCGGTGGTGTGGTCCTCGAGAAGGGCGGTCTGGTTGGAGGAGGTAGCAGAGGAGCTGCCGCCTTGGAGGTACTTGTGAAAGTTGGGAGCGGCAACGGCGCGAACCCAGTACCAGCCTGGTTCCAGGACGGTCGGGTTCGGGTTGGAAGGAACGGCGGTGGCGGAGGGTGCACCGGGGGAAGAATCGAAGATGGTTGAGCGGATCGAAGTTGGTACGGTCGAGGTCTTGAGAGTGGTGGTCACGGGAGCGGCACTAGAGGAGGAGGTGAGCGTGGTGAGACTTGGACACGCGGGAGTATATCGTTGGACGATGGGACGGCCTTCGGGGTCGCGCTTCCAGATCGGGACGGTGGGCCCTTGGCAGCCGGGTACGTACGAGGTTGTAGCTCCAGGGATGCACTGATAGTAGTAATCGTTGAGCTTGGTGCAAGTGTAGCCGGAGACGCAACTGGTGGGACCGGCCCAGCCTACGCCGCCGCACTGGGACCAGGCGCTGCCTTGGGCGGAGGCAACAGCCGCGAGGAAGGGGATGGATGCTAGCACGCGCATAGTGGATTGACGAGAGAAAGACTGTCGTTGGGACAAGACTGATGGTCAAAGGCTTAGTGCTTTGGTCATGTTTATATCTTGGCTTGGCTTGAACTCCCCGACGGCAAGACCAAGGGGTTGACGGCCCGTTGCGTACACCGCATCACAGTCGTGATCATTCTAGAAGTAGCATTGAGCTCGGGATGTTACGCCATGTTAGACAAGCTGGGCAAAGCGGGAGATGGAAACCCGGTTCACGGAAGATGATCCCAAGACAACGGGATAGCGTTGCAATGGCGTGCGAGGAAGGGCCGTTGGTTCGGAACTTGGCCTCCGGGGTTGCCGCATTCGGACCTCAACTTCGGCGCTCCGTCCCGGGCTGGGCATAGCTTTCTGTGAGACTTATAGTAGCTTGATTGTGGTAAAACATCGACGTCAAAGGATGTAGAACGGGGACATTTGAAGGTGCACATGGTTGTAGATCTGCATCCATTGTCAGACTGGTAGCCCTTGATCGATGACAACCAGTGTTGAGGCCTTGTAGTATTGCACCAACAGGTCGAGCTACCCATTGCACGCCTTACGTCGATTCCCACTTGGCCAACTTCAACTCCAAAAGCGATATTCAAAATGGGATCAGGCCATCACCACCAGACACAACACAATCTCCCAATGTTGATATGTCACCACAACAGCACAGGCCTCGGGGCTAACTCGAACTCGGATATAAGAGCATCATGTAAGCCATCGCGGCAGCTGAACCAATCTGCATCGTGGCTTGGTCAAAGAAGGGCGCGGGAGCGTGGCACAGTTTCTCTGATAGGACGCCATTCTCCATGTGGTGAGGGGTTAAGAGCTGGGGCTGAGCAAGATAGCAGTGAAGATTGGGAACAAACAATGGGAGAGTGACGTTCTGGGAGGCCACCTTGGGCAGAATGGCTGACAAGGCAGAAACAGGCCCAAGTCAGCTTTGATGCGGGATGGGATGAAGGATTGCCCTTAGGCTGACGGACCCCATCAATGTTCGCCGGTGGCTTGTCTTCTGTCTTTCATTCGTTTTGCCGTTTTGCAACTTTCAGGATCGGCGCTTATATCCATCCATCGACTTCGATTGAACAGTCAAGAGCCTAGGTGAGAGCCGAACCAACACAATGACGGAACGAAACACAATCCAAAAGCCGAATCCTCGATCGTACTCTGAATCCCACCACTCCCAGACTCAAGCCGAAGTGAATGAGCTCGAATCGCCTCCGCCCAGCTACGAGGCAGCAGTCATTGGCACGGATGACAGGAACCAGGAAGGGAGACAGGCGCATAGCCAAGACGTGAATGAGCCCGCGGGTGCTTTTCACTCCTTGAACCAGCAGCAACAAGGGCACCAACAACAACTTCTTGAACGACAGCGACAACAGCTGGACCAACAACTCGAACAGCAACGGCAACAGCGGGAACTGCAGCGACAACAACTTGGGCAACAACTTGAAGAACAAAGACATCAACAGCAGCAGCAGCAACAAGAACTTCAGCAACAGCTGCAACACCAACTACAGCAGCAGCAGCGGCCCTATCCCATCCAGGAGTATTCTTCTTCCAACCATCACAACTATCAACCAGATGCAAAACACCCTAACGCCAGCCAGCAGGACTACTACGACCTCGAAGCGCAACAGCCAACAGTAGCCGGTAGCAGCTCTGGAGGGATCCGCTCGTCCATTGCAGGTCAGGTACCGATCGACCCGAGGGACGGAAGGAGGGGACATGGACGTGTAGGATGCCAACATGAAGACGGGAAACAGCGATCGAGTAATTGTTGCGTGGCCTGCTTTGGTGGGTGTTTGGCGGGGTGCGCGGCTTGTTGTTATTGTTGTGTTGTGATGTAGGGGATGGAGTACACGGAACAAAGTAGGCTGGGCCGGGCCGGGAAGAAAGATGACGGGAGTTGATATTGGAATGATGATACCCCTTGGTCAAGAAGATTGGGAATTGGGATCACAGAGAGAAAGCCGGGGGCACGGGCAACACCCCACTGGGTTGCTTGATGGAGCCGAAAGAATCGAGAAGGATGATGATGTAAATGGTGTATATTGTGATGACGCTGTCAATTGTCAAACGAAAGAACACCGTACCACTTGGTCTACGGCCACATGGTCTCGTACATGAACAACCAGTCTTCCCAGAACTGATGGTACTTGCCCATCAACCAGCTCCTCCCATCTCCCTCGCCACCTATCCTCCATGGCCGGGTATGCAGTCCCTCGGCTTGGAGATGCCTTTTGAGAGCAACATTCATGCTGAACGAACTCGGACTGACCCCAAGGAAGAAGTCACTCTGCAACAGGACAACAAAGTCTACCAGCGCTTGCTGATCCCATGTCAGCTTCTCCAGTGCCGCTAGATCGTCGTTGTGGTCCTGCAAGAGCAGGCGTTTGGTTGTCACTCGCATCCCATGAAGCACCGTCGAGTCCTTGAAGAACTTGCGCGCCTCCGTCTCGTTGCCCGTGGCCAGGTAGCCAGCTTTCATATCGTATCCCATCTGCTGACTCATTGTCAAGTAGGTCTTGCTCTGGTTCGCATAGTTGGGCCAAAAGTCGAGCGCATCGTTCTCCGTGCGAAGGTGGTACCCGACGAACCGGCCCGAGTGGGAGTCGGCGTCGAACTGGCGCGCGTGCCGGCGCATGTGTCCGACAATTTTCCTTCCCAGGGCAAGGATGTCAGGCCGGAACCGCAACAGACCGCCGAAGGTGGAAGCGAATTCGGGACCGTCGCGGAAGACGGGCCATTCGAATTGGACGCCCCAGGTCAGCCGGAAGATGCGCGGGTGGTCGGGGCTGGGAGGGTGCGGGAGGTTGAACTCGGCGGCAGTGGAGCGCAAGTGGTTCGCAAAGGCGGAGGCAAACAAGCCGGTGTGTTTATTGTGATCTCTTCTGTCGCAGCCTCCTCTTCTCCCCAAGTTCTTGGGTGTAACCTCTTCGGCCTTGAACGGGACAGGAGCATTGGGCACGTCGGACGTGGTATCGTAGATGGTGATTTGCGGGCAGGACGACTGAAGGCTTTGACGGAGGTGCGGTTCATCGAAGAAGTAGGTGAAGGGTTGATAGTTCTCGGCTGTGATGTCGGATAGATCTTTTTCAGACCGGATTCGGATTCGTGGCATAACAAGACCGGTTGCGCCAGCGTCAATGGCGTAGCGAAGGCAGGTCAACATGTAGTTGCGAATGTTGCCGATGCCACCGGAGTTGTTGTCGCAAACAAAGACCAAACTGGGAGTCCAAGTGGTCTCCCAGCAAACTCGCTCGAGCGGCCAGCCTATGAAAGGAGCATCGGGAAGGGAGAGGTCAAGATGGCGTTGGACTATGGGACCTCGTGTGATGTCGGTATTGGAGGACGAGTAGATGTTTAGCTGGGGAAGTTGACACAGCCAGACGGTGACAAGGCTGGTGATGGCCATGAGGGTGAGGACGCCGCGTGGGCGTGCCATGCTACGGACCATCTTGAGGGGGTGCTAGATGTGGTTCGACAATTGGCTCCTAGAATGGCATCGTGAACTCTTGTCAGGGTGTTGAGGCTGTTCGAACCTGGTCAGTCACGGCCGTCAAGGTATTGATACCGGCATAGTAAATGATTGTACTGTACAAACCCATTTTCGGATATGACGGAGGAGACGGAGGAGTAGCTCCGCTTGTTAACGACATTTTGCGATTCAAGGGGGGTTTGTGCTCAGGCAACACGGCTTACTCGTTGGCTGTTTTCATATCCGGGATTGAATGGGTGGAAAATGGAAACGTCCCAATTTGGCCGCGAGGACATGTTCCGGTCATAATTCGGCAGCAGGGTGATTGCTGAGCCTGAGCCACATCTTGAACTGCGTAAGCCACATATACACTAGCCTGGACTCGGGCTGTGCCTGGAGCCACAAACGCGGGGTAGCTGTGGATATCTGAAAGCTTGGCAATCCCATTGGGCCCACCCCACTAAAAAGTTCAAAAATTTGGAAAGTGGAATTTGAGTTCGGTTGACATTGTTGGATTCAATGGCGAAGTCGCGTCCCTTCTGATAGCGGCCTGCGATTCCTTCTGTCAACGGGAACAGTACTATACAGTGCTGTGTGCCTTCTGTTGTAGCCAATCCGATTGCTGAAACTTTTTGCTTCTGCATTCTGTTTTTCGTCTCTCTCTCAGGTCTCTCTTTTTTCCTTCAACAACCACCCACACCACACCACACCACACATCACATCACACACAAAATGTCCAAGAGAGCTGCCGACGACGAGAGCATCGCTGCCCCCCTCAAGGGCGGCGACCGCCCCGAGGCTATGGATGTCGACAAGGACCACGACATGGGCGAGTTCGAGGACGACTTTGAGGATGAATTCGAGAGCGAAGACGAGATCATCGAGGCCGGTGTCGATGGCCGCCCAGATGCCGAGAGAGAGGCCGAGGAGGGTACGATGATTACGTTAATCCTCTCATGATTATACGGATACAGATACTGACCTTACTCGCAATAAATAGGCGCCATGGACGTCGACGGCGGCCCCGAGACCTTCATGGTTGGTCGTCAACAGCTCGAGGCCGGCCAGACCCTCACCCCCGATACCACGACCTACAAGATGCTTCACAGCTTGAGCACTCCCTGGCCCTGCCTTTCCTTCGACATCATCCGCGACGGCCTCGGCGAGAACCGCAATGTCTACCCTGCCACCATGTACACCGTCGCCGGTACCCAGGCCGACAGCGCCCAGGCTAGCGACAACTCTCTTCTCGTCATCAAGTTCAGCGGCCTCAGCAAGATGCAGGGCGACGATGGCGAGGACTCCGACGACGAGGACTCGGATGATGAGGATACCGACCCCATTCTCGAGCATAAGAGCATCCCTCTCAACACCACCACCAACAGGATACGCTCCCACCAGTCGCCTTCCCAGGACCCCTCGAGGCCTCCCACCACCCTTACCGCCACCATGACCGAGTCCTCCCAGGTCCTCATCCACGACATCACTCCCCATCTCGCCTCCTTCGATACCCCCGGCATGGTTGTCACTCCCCAACAGAACAAGCCCGTCTGCACCATCCGCGCCCACAAGTCTGAGGGTTACGGTGTTGACTGGTCGCCTCTCCACCCGGCCGGCAAGCTTCTGACCGGTGACAACGACGGTCTGATCTACGTTACCACCCGCACCGATGGCGGCGGCTTCGTCACCGACACTCGTCCCTTCCGCGGCCACACCGGTAGTGTCGAGGAGATCCAGTGGAGTCCTTCCGAGGCCAACGTCTTCGCCTCTGCCTCCAGCGACGGCACCGTCCGTGTCTGGGATGTCCGCAGCAAGAGCCGCGCGCCCGCTCTCACCATGCAGATCAGCAAATACGATGTCAACGTCATGTCGTGGTGCCGCCAGACCAGCCATCTCCTTGCTACCGGTGCCGACGATGGTGAATGGGCTGTCTGGGATCTACGTCAATGGAGCAGCAACCCTTCGGCCAAGCCCGCTCCTCTGGCCAACTTCAACTTCCATCACGAGCAAATCACCAGCATTGAGTGGCACCCTACAGACGACAGTATCGTTGCCGTTGCCGCTGGCGACAACACCGTCACTCTCTGGGATCTGGCTGTCGAGTTGGATGACGAGGAGAGCAGGGATACCGCCGGTGTCTCCGACGTCCCTCCCCAGCTCCTGTTCGTCCACTACCAGAACATGGTCAAGGAGCTCCACTGGCACCCCCAAATACCCGGTGCCCTTGTCGCTACCGGCGAGCAGTTCAGCGTCTTCCGTACCATCAGCGTATAAACAACAGCAGAAGAGGAAAAATTTTCGTGTTTGGGAAACAAAAGGTGTTCAGGATCGGGAATCGGTTGGCTTGTGCGGGAGATTTAGACCAACAATGTATCAAAGTTACTTGTTTATTCATGCTCATCTGCTTATCAAGATACCCATTGACCAACAACCAAGCCGCCAACTCTATGGAACCTCTGACAAATCCACGGATCCCGCAAATCTCCCGTGGTTGCAACCGTCAGTCGCCGTCTTACAAAGTCTCATCAAACCTGGACGACCTTCCCCAGTGGTTGCCGCCAACCGTATAAGGAACCGGCCTCGATTTCCGATGCTGAACAGCCTCGGTCTGCTCCGCCCACGATGACGTGTGTCTTGCGCATTGCCACAGACCGAGCGGTAACTACACAGCAAGTGTCGGGCAGGCCATCTCAAGACAGGATGCTTTGGAGGGATTTTGCGACATTAGGCCACGTGAGGGGCCGCACGAGGATCACCTACTATTGCCTCAGACGGACGTCATTGGGGGCCGCCCGACCGACAACTCCGTCTTCTGCTTGAAAGTCCACCCGACGCGTCAAAAAAACTTGTGGCCTGGAGATACGCCACGCCGTTTTGGGCTGCTCTGACTTCTCACTACGATCTCTTCATCTTTCTACTGTTTCTTGGCTACCCGGCCGGTCTCTTGGTGACCCGTGCTCATGGCGTAGCAACTTCTTCAGGCGTGTCCGAGCTTCGGTTGGGAACAACGGGCGACAGCCATCTCAAGTCTTGTTCATATCATGATATCATGAACGCCCTTGCAGTTTGAAAATCATCAAACGGCCTTCTGACAAAGCGTCGCAATTTCCCAAAGTTGCGGCTCATCCGACGGTCGAGCATAAAACGCTCCGGTCCCATAGAATGCTGGGAAGACTAATGGATATCAGCATCTCCAAGAATGCCATGTCTACGGTCCATGTTTACGGTCAGAGATGTCCCGTCACGGTAATGACTCGGGCCACTATCTGATGAGAGATAGCTTTGTAAGACGGTTCTTCGTCTTACTCTTGCATCAGGTACTGCCGAGGTTTGTTTCACCTCGAAAAGCGGAGGAAGTTGAGGCAGGAATCCAACGGTCCGACAGATAAGAACTCAAAGCGTCGCCTCGTCGCTCAACCTCTCTACTGATTCTCGGCCACGACATAAAAGGCAATACCCTCGATCGCATAGCCCGTCACAGGATCCGGCCATGACTGACTGGACTGCCCGGGTGACTGGAATTGCTTTTATCAGCAGGCTGCCACCTCGGTATATCCTCTCCTGAAAACTCTGACGGAGAGTGTGGCAGTGACGGCAAAATCAGCTGACATTCTGCGACGGCGTGCAATCTCTCGGTCCCAAGGCCATCGGATTGCGGGATGCGGGATGCGAGTCCAGACCAGTCTGTGCTGCACTCCCGCCTCGCTCGAGCACGCCGGCATGTTTACTGGACAGTGTTGAGTGTGGATCCAATCACCCAAAGCCAAAACGTGCGAGACCGGCTTCAACAAGATATATCCATGCCTCTCGAGAGCTTGGGCTCCACGCCCTCGAACTGTCGGCTTGCCGGTGGGAGGACCTGGACTCTGTCTGCCGGAGCGTGTGCCGTTGGGAAACAGGCCTAGACAGGGAGGAACTGGTGTTTCTGGGCTGCAATGCATGTTCAAACGGATGCAGGTTGTTGCAGCTACCTTGCCTACCTACTGTGTCTCCTCAATTCCATCTCATAAGACTATTGTCATATCTCTCCTATCTCCCCCCGTTCCCCCCAACCACTTTCTCGCATCATATCACATTCTCCTGGAACAGTCCCGCAATCTTTGCAAAACCGTCAAACTCGGCGAACCCGAAGACCATGCGGAATGTCTCTGAAAGAGCGCGTGAGTGGGAGACCTTCAGGTACGTACCAGTTTCGATAGTAGTACCTATCTCCTCTCCGTACCATCTCTGCCAAGGCATCCACCGAGCTGTGTACCACCCGTACCTGAGGCTCTGGGGGATCATACGCATCATCGCGGTC